AAAACTATGACTTTGTTTTTGTTCATTCTAATATACTTTATCTTATATGAGCATAAGAAATCAAATCTTGTCATGAGATTATGTGTTAGTAGTTCATTTTTTCTTCTTCTAATGGTTTATTTTTCTTTACCTGTTCTCCACTACGATGGCTATGGTATCCCGAACTTGTTCGTCTTATAGTTATAACACGCAACATGATAAATGTTTGGAAGTTTTCTTTTTTTTTCTTTTTATTTTTTATACGTTAATACATAAAATTGATGTAATAGTAATACTATAGAAATTGTTGAACATTCGACGATATTACAAAATGTAAAGAAAAAAAGATAGACATGAAAAAAGAGAAAAAACGAGAAAATGAATAACTATCGTAAATATTCTTGTTAGCAGCAGGAGGAGGACACATTCACGCTTCTATGTGCACTTAGATTACAATAAGAAAAGCAAGATAAAAAGTTCGACACGTAATCACGAAAACCAGAAAATAGTGGTTTTATATATTTTTAGTTTTATTCACATATGCAAAAATACCGTCACATACTTGTATCTCTATCTATTCATCAAATTCAAAAAACGCATTATTTATCAAACTGATTAATAAACTATATAAAAGAAAAAAACCAAATGCCTTTTCACAATGTCTTTATTCTCTATAATCATTTTTTTTGTAACACTCCTGTTTTTTTTCATGTACTGACATATTATTTCATTTGAAATATACCATTATCATATATAATATGTCTATGCTTATTATTTACCTTTTTAATGTAAAGAAATAATAATTTATTTTATCAAAAAAACAAAACTGAGAACATAGAATTAAATATTCTTTTGAAAAAAAAATAGACTTCTCAACGAAATCAAACTCTTTTAATAGATTCTAGTACAATAAACTACATGACTTGTGAATATTTTATTTTTAATATTCATTAGTGAAATAAAAATAGGTAGCATATAACGAAATTGATTTATAGACCAAAAAAATAATATAAATATATTAATTGGTTTTTAAACATGTCATGCTTCAATTAATATACATAACGCATTAAAAAGAAAAAAACAACAACATTAATCATCTAAACTATTTACAGATTTTTATATTAACATATTATTTTAGGTTAATTAGTAAAGCTTATGAAATATGATATGATGCAGATTAGACAAGTATTTGGATCAAATTCGACTCAAAAATAGTAAATTTCTTCAATTTTCGAATAAAATACAAGTAAACTAGAATAATCTTTTACAAAATCGAATAGAATTCACATAGAATTATAAATCATATCTTTCAAAATCAAAAAATATACTTTTAAATGAATTTTTTTCAAGTAGAAAGTCAATGATATGAATATTAAATAATATTTATAGATTGCAGTCATCATTTTGAAACACATCTCATATAACATAAGTAAACTTTCAGAAAAATTTATAGTATAATAATAAACAAAACATAACGGGTCAAAAATTTCATTTCCGTTCAAAATATCGAATAACTTTTTCCTATTCTGAATTGTATTACATTACTAGATAGAGTCAGAAGGTAAGAGATTTCATGATTCCAAGCACATGAATGTTATGCATGATAGTACTCATTTATGTTTTGTAATGAAATTTCTTAGAATTAATGAGAATTCGATATTGTATAACTACTAAGCTGATGAGTATTAAATTCGGAAATAGATCCGTACTGTTTCATTAGCTTCATTCATCATAATTTTATATTAAACAGTAGCTTTATTTACATAGTTTTGATGATTTTTCAATCGTTTTGATTCTAATAATGTTTAAAAACTAGTCGATTTATATATTTACTATTTCCGTAACACTTTCAAAACATACGCTTACATAATTAATTTCTATTATTTGAAAAATTTCACGGAGTATATTCCCTGCAGTAGCATTATATTGATAGATGCCAGTAGTAATCGAATATATTTGCTTGTTGTTGTTATGTTTTTTATAAGAAAAACTTCGGAAATAAATTAAATTACTAATTTCATATCATCGATTATATTTATAAAACTTCCGAATAACTTCATCCATCAATAAAGGTTGTATCTAAACAACCAACAAGTTCAATGGTATTGAAATTAATTTTCATTGATAACCTTGCGTTTATAAACTTTGTTAACATCAATTTGATACATAAAAAAAAAAAATCATATCATGGTAAGAAATATTTCTAATTATAAAAAACAAAAAAAATGATTTATATAAAATAGGCGAAAGCAAGTATGACAACAAAAGAAGCTTTGGCAAAATGGGTAAAATTTAATTAAAAAAAACTAAAAGAAAATTAATTATTTTATTTTTATTAGGAAGAAAAAACTCAACAAAAAGCTTCAGAAGCAAAAGAAGTTTTACTTTATGGACAATTTCCACCAATTGATAAAATGGATGCATCTATTTCAACATTAGTCAATTGCGAGTATGAAAAATCTTCAGTGCTAATTTCTTTTTTCTCTAATGGATTATTGTAGAAAATTATCTTTATCAACAAATATGATTGAAAAAATAGCCAATCTTAATGGTTTAAGTAAGATTTATTATATATATTTGAATGAAAATAAAAAAGAAATAAAAATTTTTTTGTTTTTTATAAAAATTTAGAAAATTTAAAAATTCTTTCACTTGGTCGAAATTTAATAAAAAATCTTGTTGGCTTGGTAAGAGACTTCAATATTGCCTTTTCTTTTGATCAAGAAAATATTCATAAGAGAACTAAGAAACTGAAGTATTCGTCAAAAATATGATTTTAGTATACTTGTTCAAAACAATATAATTTTCTAGTGTTTACCAGTCAGATTTTTTTAACAGTATAGTTGTTCCCAACTATTTAAATCAAGGGACTTCACATTGAGTTTTCTAATATGTTATGTAACTTTTGGTTCGCTGAGAAATGTCGAAAAAAAGTTTCTTACAATGCCAATAATCGAGTAAACAGACACGAAGGAAACAACGTTAGGCACATTTCGATGTCTTTCATTTGTGAACATTTTTATTACTCTGTACTCCTAAATAGGATACGAAAATGTTCAATGTTTCTTGATTTTCTAATAATTTCATTTAGGAAGCTGTTGGTGATACACTTGAAGAATTATGGATATCATATAATCAAATAGAAAAATTAAAAGGTATTGGTGGTATGAAAAAATTAAAAGTACTCTATATGAGTAATAATGTTGTTAAAGAATGGGCTGAATTTCAAAAATTAGTAAGCAAAAAAAACAAAATAACTTTTTTCTCGATTCAGATTTATTAAAAACCAAAAAATTTATTCATTATTAGGCTGAATTACAAACACTTCATGAATTAGTTTTTAATGGAAATCCATTACATGATAAATTCTTAGAAGATAATGATGGTAAACAAGAACTTTGGCAAGCTGAAGTTCAAAAACGTTTAAAACCATTAAAAAAACTTGATGGTAATATTTTAAAAATTCTATTTCAATTGTATAATGTTTTGACGTTTTTTTTTTTTTGAATAGGTTTACATATTATTCGTGAACAAGAAGGCGGTGAATAAAAAACGATATTGTATTACAGAAAAGATTTTATGATTAATATCTGTATTTGTATTTTTTTCTTTTTTCTTAAAATAAATTAAACACTCATGAAATTCATCATAAGTATGCTATTCATGATAGAAACAATTCGTAAGAAATCAACTGTATCGAATATACACGAACATTTAAAATTAAATTATAGATTTTTATTTCCTGATTAAAAGTAAATTTCATTTGTCATATTTCATTAATTAAGAAGCTAAACATAATTAAACAATTATTAATTCTTACAGATTTCACTTCGATATTGTAGAAGTTACATGATGTATTTTTAAAGAAAATAGTGAATGTAAATTTCAAGTCGAAATTTTGCAACTCCTTCTCCGAATAATAGACTTGAGCCATCAAGGACAATCTGTATCAGAGTTACTTTGAATGACATGTATCACAAAACTTAGAAAATTCTAGTATATAATAAAGTCTTAGACGAAATTAGAAGAATTATCAACGTGCATTGCTTTATCACAGATCAAGTTATAACTTTGGAAAATAGTCAATGCCAAGGTTTCTCAATAGATCGAGATATATAATAGTGCGTTAAGACCTACCAGCGTAGATGTAATTGATATTTACAACAGAGCTTATTTGCCATTTCACTCAATGCTTATACTAATAACAACATTAAATGAAGAAATAAGAAATAAGAAAATGAAAAACATAATGATGAATGCAAAACAAAAAAAAAAAAGAAAAAATTTCTGTTTTAATTGTAGAAATTTCATTTTATGTATATGTGTATTAATATGATCAGACTAAAGAACATATGTAGGTTCTATATAACACAGTCTCAAAGAGACAGGTTGTACTTACAAATTTTGCTAATAGAAAGAAAATAAATTTTTTCTTTTCTCTATAAAAATTTGCAAATACTAAAAAATTATATCATAGAATAAAAAAAGCATATATACCAAAGATTTTTATCATTCTCATTCAATCTTTTCATCCAATAAAGATTTATTATCAACAAAACTTCCAAGATTTGATCGTATTTTTTATGTCCGGTTTTCTTTTGATCATATAGAAAACATCTGTTGTGTACTATTATGACGACGCCATGCAGCTCGATAGAAATGGTAGTTAGCCTTGCTTTTCTATATTCTACGATAGAATGCAAAAATTTATTGTATACGAAAGATAAAAATAATAGCTAAGATGACATTTCTTATATGAGCAAATAATATGAGTGAAAAAGACTACTGTTGATGTGATAGGTTAGTTATGTTGGTAAAGAAAATAAATTACCAAGTCTCTATTTACATATTTTCTGTGATTTCTTATAACAGATATAGACTATTTTTGTTGTTGTTTCGATAGAAATAGTAAGAAAAAGAAGACGGAGTATTAAATGATATATACTGATAGTAGTGCTCGATAAATTATTATATTTGATCTATTGATTGCACATACACAAATAAATAGATAATAATAAAAAATGTTTGCTTTCATTCAATATGCATTCATTTTATTTATATTCATTATTTCACAAGTTTCAACTGAAAATCAATTTAAACAATCAATAAAATGTTATCAACTACATGAACAAGAAGACACTGTAATCCGAACATTAAATATCACCGTGGGTCATGCATTTCAAAAAGCTACATTTACTATACATGCAACTGAAGACAATATACCATGTTCAAAAGTTGGTTGTGTTTGTTTTAGTTATCGAGGTGTTTGTTCTCATTCATCACGAGGATCGAATCATTTTGGAGAATGTACTGATGCTGATAAACATAATAGAATAATTCAATGGCATCGTGGATGGTCATCGCAAGCTACATGTGAACAAATGCGTCAACAATCTGAAACATATCTTAATTTGACATGCTGCTCTACAGATTATTGCAATAATCAACCAGGAAAAGTGATAAAATTTATTGACATACAAACACCAATTCAAATACATAATAGTTATGATCCTCAAAATCTACCATATTCATCGATTCCACAAAAGCCATCACAACAGTATAACGATGCTGATCATCAAGTTGAACAACCTATGTTTATCCCGCCTAAGCCATCACAATGGAATAACGATAATGTACGTCATTCATTTACATCTCGTTTGCCAAATATGAACAAGCCATCACATTCGTATGATCGTCATGTACCCCATTCGACTAGACCTCGTTTGCCTGGCACTCACAAGCCATCACAAGTCTATGACAGTCATGTGAACCATTCAACTACACCACGTTTAACTGCTATAGACCTATCGTCGCAACGAAATCAGGGTCATACACACAATACCAGTACATCACGATTACCTAACACTCATCAATCGAGTCCAGCTTACGATGTATCTTTATCACAAAAAAACACACTTGCATTTTGTTCTTTTTCAAGTTGGATGATTTCTTTTTCTCTTATTTTTTATTTTCGCTTTATTATACAATTTTACTAAGAAAAGAATATTATTTTTTTTTTTTGAAAATTAAGTAGTCATTATGAATAAATACTGTCTTTTGCAGTGCTAAATGATTAGATTACATGCAATTGAATAGTTTATATCTTATATTTTTTTTTCCTTTTATAATAAAGAAATTAATTAATAGATCTATAAAACTCGACATATGAATCAATTAATAGTATATTGTCAATATTTATTGTTTACATTGAACTGTTTGTCAATCTATCATCACATAATTATTAGTCTTTTGAAATATAATTAGTTCTCGGAAGAAAATTAGCATGACTCTAGAAGACAAAACATAAGACGAGTTTTATTTAGAAGTTTTTGTTTTTTGCATTTCGAAGTAGAACTAAAAAAAAACAATGAAAAATTTTTTGTTTTGTTTTCGAAAGTATCAGTACCCGTCAATTTCAAAATGGCTAAGAAATTAGAATTTTGATTTCTATTATATTGGCATACTGATCTAATTACTAAAAGTCTTACAATAGTAAAGATATAAATTAAGCATTCATCGTCATAAATTTGTTTCTTAATTTTTGGAGAGATATTAAATAAGTTAATGTAGTAACTGTGATATAAATAATTGTGTCAAATGATAAAGAAATGACATTTATGTACTAGAATATAAATGAACCAAGAAATAACATCCCAGAGCGAAGAATATGAGATCAGTATATACTGTAGAACGATCCTATACTCTGGGTATTTCATTGTATTTTTTCGTATATGATATCAAGAAATACGATAATAATATTGAGTCATGTAATACGGCAATATACGACGATTTGAGGGTATTTTTATGCGTTTTTGTTCGATTGATTGTTCAATGATATATTACATGAAGATGCGATGTAATAATGATAAGAGTTAGAGAGTGAGTCTCAATATAAAACTATGACAAATTAAAATCATATTATTCTTATTTATTTTTTACAACGATAATAATACTAATATACAAGATTTATTTTGAATTTTTTTTTTGTTGATGTAAGCGCTAGTAAAATTTCAAATAGTGATTCGAATAGAGAATATTGTCTTTAACAAGAATATAATGAAATAACAATTATTTTCTGGTTCCTAAAGACAAGAACTTCAAAAAAAAACCAAAAGACTAGTTTTTTTAGTATCTCGAATACTCACATGTAATTTTCTTTACGTTGAATCCAACGATAGAATAAACAATTCTCGAAATAATTAGAAATCTTCGAGTTCTTTCTGATGTTTTTCAACTGAAATACAGCAATCTTACGCAAGACTCTAAAGTTGTTTTTTTACTCTTTTCTTTAGAAAAACTTTTTTTTTGACCTTCAGTTAAATTGGGCATTTACGGACAGAGATATTTACAGTATATGTAAAGTATTTGCAGTTCAAAATTTTATTACAGTTTTTCATCATAATTGGATAGAACTCATTCGGAGTTGCATTACAAAAAGTATCTGTCGAATGAAAAAGAAATTTTGTACAACAGTTAAAATTTTTAGTTTATTTTTCTCTTATACCTAAGAATGATTGTATGTTGAACACTTTTCTTGAAAAAATTGTTCTGAAACTTCAAACTTCGAGCATCTTATATATAATTTGATCCGAATATGTCTTGTCTTATAAACGAATACTACAAACAATTTCATTTTTACTATTAATTAAATAGAAAAAAAAAGTCAAAAATAATATTTTTATTTTTCCGTATGTTTAATTTATAACCAATAAGATTTCTCGAACTATTTGTTTCTAGCTGATAGTCATATACATATGAATCATCAAATCAATGTCAAAATGAAAATCTATTAATACATTCGGATTAAAATTCATTTTAAAAATCTACTATTAATCAACATATGACATATATTATTGATAATATTAAATTCTTTTGATTAACTAAAATAAACAATATGATTTTAGTGACATCTTGTATTTTACATTCTTCGTTTGTTAAAATGTTACTGTTTAGCAGTGCCATCCTTTATGTACAACTTATATTTAATAAAAATAAAATATATAGATAAATATACAATTGTATTCAGTATATTTTGAATATAATTTCATTTTTTGATACTTTTATGAAATCTAGATGTCACCTTACAATCTGCATTTGACATTAATTTACATTTTTCTTCATACTTCATATCACCATATTACATATCAAACAATTAAATATATAAATATATTAAGATAATCAAAAAATAGTGGCTTGGAGTACTAATTTAATTTTCTTTATGGTTACAATCAGTTTAACTTATCTCGGAACGATTTTCTATCGTTCAATGTCGAGTTTTTCATCGTAAATTATAATATATTTTATAAAAATTTAATTCAATGAAATAAGATTTTAAATTCATTTAGATCAATAAAACAAACAGAAAAGAATATTACTAAAACAATTAAAATAAATAAACCATCAGCAATTATTCCTGCAAATGATAAACATACAGCTAGTGTAAATTTTTTTCTCGAATATAAACGTATAAATTATTTCATGTTGTTATATTTTAGTTAATTTTTTTACATGGTCTTGGTGATGTTGGGTAAGAGATTACTATCTTTTTATAAAAAAAAAACAATAACAGATATCTACTAAATTATAAGTTATTACTTCGAACTAACTTATAATAGTAATGAATAAAATGTTGAAAGTTGTAATCAACAAGGTATATGTTTTTTATCGATTTCTATTATTTCAGGGAAAGTTGGCTTGAAGTATTTGATATGTATAATATTCCAAAATATGTTCGACATGTAAAATTTATATTTCCAACAGCGTAAGTCACAAACATATATTCTTATTAATATATTTTCATTTATGAAAAATAGTCCAATACGAAAGATAACATTAAATTATGGAATGTCAATGACTGGTTGTAAGTTAATTAAAAAAAATAAAAATAAAAATATATTTATAAATAAAAAAGGGTTTGATGCATATGGTCTTGATCGAAGTTCAAAAGAAGATCAAAAAGGAATATTAGAAGCATCAAAATATCGTAAATAAAATTTTATACTGAAAAAAAAATTTTTTTTGAAATTTTATTTTCATAGTCAATGATTTAATTGAAGATGAAATTAATCATGGAATTCCATCCGAACGTATTGTAAGTGAAAACAAAAAAAATTCAATAATTCTTTATTTATTTTAGATCATTGGTGGTTTTTCACAGTGAGCATTTAATTAATACAAATCAGTTCTATTATTTTATTGATTTATATATGATTTAATGGAGCTACTTACATATCTATACTTTTTATGTCTATTAGATGATGTCTTCGTTATACAAAGCTTCAAATATTAATAAAACCATAGAAATAATCAAAAGTAGAAAAAAAACATATTCAAAACCGAACACTGGCAACATTTGAAAAGGAAAATATTGCACATGAGGACGGATGTGTTATTCATTGACAAGCAGTGGCGTAGCCAGAGATAGGGCCATTGGGCAATTGCCCACGGATTTATTGAGCTATGCAGTGCTTGAACAGTTATTGCCCATTTGAAATCATAACGGTTGCCCTTAGCTGCCCGTAACTCAAAATAGTTCAGCTGATGAATTGCCCATGACTTAAAAATTCCTGCTTACGCCACTGTTGACAAGTGATGTTTATTTTGAAATATTTGTAATTCAATACGCTAATTTTCAAAAATACGAATTTATTTTGTTTTTCAATTGAGTTTTGATAATAGAAATTGTAATAAGTAAGAATATTGTTAGTTGTTTTATTATCAAAACAAGAAAATATTCAATTTTCTCAACAATAAAACTAAATGCATACTTTTATAATTTGAAACTAATTGATTAAATTTAAATAAAAAAAAAAAGTTTTAAAAAGATATTTTAATTATATTTGGAGTTTTTTTTTTGTAACGAAGAGATGATCTAATTAAAAAGAAAAAGTATATAGATATATAACTCTTCAAGTTCTATCAAATCATATATAAATTATTGAAAAATAAAATCCATTCGAATTTTTTTCGGTATATGAATATTATTAAAAAAAAAAAACAAATGTTTGATTTTTAAGGGGTGGTGCTGCTGCTCTTCATACAGGTAATCAATTTATTATTTCAGTATCATGTTTCTTATTTATTTTTGTATTTTAGCATTAACTACATCTCATATGTTAGCTGGTGTTTTAGCTCTATCAGCATGGCTTCCATTATCTTCAACATTTCCTAAAGTTGAATTAATAATTTAAGAAAAACAAAAAACATAATGTTAATTATTTTTTGAAATTTTTAGGCACTTATTGCTGGTGATAAAAAATTATATCTACCTATTCTTCAATGTCATGGTATTTAAGAATTAAATACTAAGAAAGATAAATCACTTTTTTGTTTTTTTTTAATTCTAGGTAAACAAGATCCAGTCGTTCAAATGGAATGGGGTCGATTAAGTGAAAAAGTTATCAAAGAAATGGGTTTTAAAAAATATGTTTTTAAAGAATATGATGGAATGGTACATTCATCAAGTGATGAAGTAATTACTAATGATTTTTAATTTTTGCATTGAAAAACTAATATATATGTATAAATAACTGTTAGTTTTTTTCTTTTTTCATTTATTTAGGAAATCAAAGATGTTATTGCTTTCATTAAACAATATTTACCAAAGATTGAAGCTAAAATTTAGAATTGTTTTTGTGATTTAGAATATTATTTAATAAAAGAAGATTGATATAGTTTTAGTTCTTTTTATCTTTGACATGTTTGATTTTATTTATCTAGATTATTGAGATTTTAAATACATAAAATGAGTCAATCACCGGCTGTTATTCCTGCTACTACCAAACAAACTGCTACTGTAGGTTAATTCTCATATATATATATATTAATAATGGAAATATTATTTTGTTTATTAAGGTAATCTTTTTACATGGTCTTGGCGATGTTGGGTAAGAATTTATAGATGTATATGTGTTAGATCTTCTTCAAACTAAGTATATGCTTAATCAGTATTCTATAGAACGTAGTACAATTATTTATGAAAGTCATATCACAATACTCAGTTTTCTGTACTACAGAAGTTTTTGTAGTTTTCGATCAATGTTTTACCAAACAGATTCGTTTCTGATGATTAGAGTTAGCCCTAAATTCTGACAAATGTTTGTGCTTATAAAACAATTGCTCGCTATTTCGGAAGATAAAACATAGTCATGAATGTTTAGTTGTATTCTAGTTTCAATCGAATCAGATCTAATATAATATAAAACACTAATTGTATATTAATTTTTATCGTTTATTTAAAGAACAAGTTGGCTTGAAGCATTTAATATGTATCGAGTTCCAAAAGCTGTTCCACATGTAAAATTTATATTTCCAAATGCGTAAGTTCAAAAAAAAATCAATTCGATTTATAACCTATTTTTTTTTAATTTATTTCTAAATAGTCCAATTCTAAGAGTAACATTAAATATGGGAATGCCAATGCCTAGTTGTAAGTTTATTTAATATAATAAATATAAAAACATTAATTTTTTGTTGAAAATAGGGTTTGATATTTATGGTCTTGATCGAAATGCTAAAGAAGATGAACAAGGCATTGCAAAAGCATCAAAACTTTGTAAGATTTTCTATTGAATAAAATTTTTCATTTATTTATTTATTTTATGATATTATTTTAAAGTAAATGATCTTGTTGAAGAAGAAATTAAACATGGAATACAACCAGAACGTATAGTGAGTAAATAAAAATTTTGTTAAATTTTTATAAAGTTTTTTTTTTCTTCATTAATTATGTTTAGATAGTTGGTGGTTTTTCAATGTGAGTTAATAATGATATATTCTTTTTTATTTTTATATCTAAATGTTTATATTTATTTTCAGGGGTGGTGCTGTTGCTATTCATGCAGGTATTTGATTCTAGTTTTTTTTTTCTTCTTTAAGACTTTTAATTTTCTCATATTTATTTTACTCAGCATTAACTTCTCCTCATACACTTGGTGGAATTTTAGCGTTATCAACATGGCTTCCATTATCGACAACATTTCCTAAAGTTGCTCTTTTTCTTTTTCTATTACATTAAATTTAAAGAAAAAAAATTTTTTTTTTCTGTTTCTATTAGGCACTTGTATCCGGTGATAAAAAAGTTAATTTACCAATTCTTCAATGTCATGGTATGTTAAAAATAAATAAAATAAAATCAATATATATATATATTATTTATTCATCTAGGTGATCAAGATTCAATGGTTCAAATACCATGGGCTCGTCTTACTGAACAAGGTATGAAAGCAATGGGTTTTAAACAATATACATTTAAAGAATATAGAAATATGGATCATTCATCATGTTCTGAAGTAAGATTTTTCAATCATACATTCGTATTCTACATCGATTGGAGATTCATAATAATAATTTATTTATATGTGTATGTTTTTTTTTTATAGGAAATGGAAGATGTTAGTAAATTTATCGTACAAAATTTACCAAAAATCAATTAATTATTATTATGAAAAATCAAACTGATATTATACACGTTTACGTATTCATAATTTATGTTATTACCATTCTTTTTTCTTTTTGATTTTGTCGTCATGTGATCTAATAAACACATAATAAATATATCATCAGTAGATCTAGAAAAGGATTGATTGTATTTAGAGAAAGTGTAATACATAAATGCATGTAACAGATAGTACAAAAAAATTCTAGCTAAAATATTCTTTCATTTTTTTTTGATTGATTACGAAAGCTAAAAGAAAGTTTCAAGCGTTAAGTTAGAATCAGAACTTTGTACTTTTTTTGTATATATGAATAAATCTATGAGGAACTCAAAAAGAAAAGAAGTCCGGATAAAAGCAATTGAATTAATGAATCTAGACAAAACACATTGATCGTATTCTCATTTGATTGTGATTCTAACTCAATGCTTGAAAATTTCTGCTGAATTTCAGTAATCAATCAACAAATAAAAACAATATGATGTTCACAAATCTTCATACTATTGGTTATGTAAAGCTGATTTCAGATATGGACATGATATATCATTATATTGAATTGTTATTAGTGCTTGAAAATTAGTTTTCAATATGATTAAGCTAATTTTCATGAATGGCAGCATGTGACATATAAATATTTCATTTCTTCTATCCAAAATACAATTCTTAGTCTTCTCTATATACAATAGGAATTTAATATATTAGATGTTCATCATTAATGAAATATGGCTATATTACGATCACGTATACTTTTGAAGTTTGAGGTCCTCTTTCCAAAAAAAAATTCATAAAACAGTCCAGGCATATCATTTTTACTTGAAAACTACATCAAATACTCTAATAGATCATTAGATTATTTATAAAGAGTACAAGAGTAACTTTTATCATTCGATTTCAATGCGTTTTCTGTTCAGATAATTTCAACTAAAATTCTTTCGAGAATGAAGAGAAAGATCAATACATTGTATGTTTATGAAAGTGAATTATTTTATGGATCATAGTTAGAAAAGCCGAGCTTACATCAACATTGATAAATTAATAGTACTTCTGCTTTTAAAGAACTTTGTACTATTAGACTATTGTGATATATATGTAATGTATAGTGAAGCGTACTCTTTGACATTATCAATTACAATTATGGTTGATTGATGAAGTAGAAAAAAAAAAAACTAAATTACTAAATTAGCATATGTCCTTGCTATTTACAATTTACCAATATATATGTATGTTTTCTTACTTACTCTATAACGTCCTGTAATGTATAGAAGAATGCATACCGTGAAATCGGTAGATTGACAAGAAATTAAATGTCCACCTACATAATTTTTTTTCGATCGGGAATTGAACGAGTAGGCGAAAATTATTCAAAAATTAATTATTCCTCTTGTGAGTAGCTACAAAAGGGGCAGCAATGTTGAATATTGCAAATTATACTTCAATCATATCGTTCTACACATCAACACAACAGAAACAGCGACTATGAAGCTGGGCCTCGTTTCTCTCCTTTCCATTATATTTCTTCTTCTGATGATAACCAACAGTTATGCTAACAGAGCACCTCTGTCCAAACAAAACTTACAGAAGAAAGCTCTAAATACTCTGATGGCCAGACGATTGAACTCGTTTTTGGAAGAAGGCGAAAAGGAAGAAAAACGCCATGAAGATCGAAATACACGAAGCAAATATATGAGTATTAGGTCTGATCTTGACAAATCATTACAGCCTGGAGCATGCAACGTATTCTATGACTATTCCATGGACAGCAATAATGTCTATTTTATGGGAAAGAAAATGGAAGACGCAAATCCAGATACATTTCAAATGCTTGATGACGGTTATGCTATGGATCAAAATGGCGTCTATTTTATGGGTGAACGAGTTGTTTTTTCATCTTCAAATTCATTCGAATTGCTTGGTAACGGTTATGCTAAGAGTAACTCTGCTGTCTATTTTTTGGATAAAGAAATAGACGATGCAGATCCAGCTTCATTTCAATTGCTTGATAATGGCTATGCTAAGGATGACAAACATGTCTTTTATATGGGTAAAAAAGTAAAAGATGCACAGCCATCTTCATTTCAAGTTATTGAAAATGGCTTTACCAACGATAATG